GGGGGGGGGGGGGGGGGGGGGGGGGGGGGGGGGGGGGGAGTTTGCTAAATTTACGACAAAATTACGAAAGTTGGGCAAATCAATGGCATTGTCGCAGATGGTTTGTCCAGGATTGTACGCAGGGCCTCCAAAAAGTTGCCAGGGGTCCGTGGCAAAATGCCCCCCAGCTCCCCCCCCCCCAATCTCTCTCGGCGGTCCTGATTCTAGGTACAGGCGGCAAATTGTGTGCACTGTCTTTTATCTTACTTCTAACTGCGGCCTCTCCTCCAGTTCAAACACCAATGCGAGGTCCGCTAGTCTAAATATCATAAAAAGAATGGTTAAATGATTCTATCAAGTCACACATTACAGTATTTTACAAATTCATGCGAGAAAAATATTACGAAATATATCATTTATACATAATCGTACACTACGCAAATAATTCCAATAACGCTATTCATGGATATTAGTAGTGCTGTACCTGTCTCCGTCAATGATTGCTAGTGGCACGGAATAGTTTCGCATTATTTTTTCCAACTTCAGAATCAGAGTCAAAATGCTAGAGAACATAATGTTTGCAATTAGAGAGATTTTTGTAACGACTGCAGGTTTAATATGGTATGGGTTGAAAGTACTACAGTATTGTAGATAGAAATTATCGAGTGGAAATTTACATATATTTCTTAGACCTAACCAGGGACAGCTGCAAAAAATGCAACTTTAGGTCTCTGGCAGGAATTGAACCTGCGACCCGGCGATTCCCATGCAGCACTCTAACCAACTGAGCTACAGAGGCCAGTCGTCGAGCTCTAACCTCAAGTTCATGTATATATAACTGTACATGGTATGCATATGATATCTGAACTATAACTTGAGATGACAGGTGATACGAAAAAATAAACTGACCTGCCCCATGATAAACAGTAATGGCGTTTGAAGTCTGCAAAATCCTAAAAAGATGACAATACAATGTGGAGCTTAATAAGTCAACTTTAAACCTGGCTTACACTATCAAAGTTTATGTGATCACAGTAGGAATTTTGCATAGGTAAATTCTAAGTTTTGAAGGATTTGTAAGAAATGTTTGAGGGAACTTACTGAGTGTTATAAAGGATGGTTTACACTATCAAAGTTTCTGTGATCACAGTAGGAATTGTGCATTGGTAAATTCTAAATTTTGAAGGATTTGTAAGAAATGTTTGAGGGAACTTACTGAGTGTTATAAAGACTGGTTTACACTATCAAAGTTTCTGTGATCACAGTAGGAATTTTGCATTGGGTAAACTCTCAGTTTTGAAGGATTTGTAAGAACTGTTTGAGAGAACTGGTTTAGTGTTAAACAATAAGTCAGTTCCCTCACACATTTCTTACAAATTCTTCAAATTTACCAATGCAAAATTCCTACTGTGATCGTGTAAACTTGATAGTGTAAACCAGACTTTAGTCTTGCAATGCAATTATTTAATCAAACATCATCATTTTATAGCTGGTTGCTTTATCCATCAGTGTCCCTCAGACTTATGCCATCACTTACTGTATAGCGTCTCCATGAATATTAAGCTACATATATATGGCTAGAGTTAAAACTCACCTGTGAAGTTGATCGAGTTCGTCCATTTTGAATGACAAATTTATGCGAAGCTTTTATCTCGCTGGATGGCGTGGGTACTGGCGCTGGAAGCTAAATATTATTAAAAACATATTACATAAGAATATCCCAGTTGGACTTCAGGTTTGCAAATCTGAATTTCACTTAAATCCTTCAGGGTTCTGCCCACGGTGGGCGGCAGCGGGCGGCAGTGCCCATCACTTAATAGTACCGCCCATCCTCATGACGTCATTATGACATGAACATGACATCATCATTACATGGTCATGACGTCATCAAGTCTATCCTAACATATTGGTTATTATGTATTAATGAACACTCACATCATTATATGATCATGACGTCATCATGTCATTGCATAAAATCTTAACTAAAACTTCACCAACACCTATTTCAAAGTACAACTACTCACAGGCAGTATCGCATTGATATCTCGCGGAGGAGTTCGTAGAACTGAATTATCTGTCCAGCCCTAAGCAAAAACAAACGTAAACAAACGCACGCATTACATTTAACGTAAAGTTTTCAAGCTGTAAAGTTTTTAATGTATATTTTAATGGGAGGAAGTATTAACCAACATACAATTACACTTCGTACCTGACTGGCATCACGAAAATGATCGAGTTTCTTTCTCTTACGTTCAGCTAGAGACGTCTCTTTCGCGATTATTGCATTTGTATGGTCAACCTGTGTCAAAAAGATAAAACAATTTAATTGCAGCAATAATTATTAACCAATAAATTATTATTACCCAACCCTTGAGTTGTTTTGTTTTTCATTTACCCAACCTTTTACTCACTCAAATTTTGTTTACCCAACCTTTTTCTCTTCGTTGAGCCGTTCTTAATTGCAATTTCAAACAAGATTTCAAGATTTAAGATTTGAAAGGTACAAATCCCTACCTTTACAGCAGCAATATTGTAGCCTCCCACTGAAACAAGAATAATGTACAAATTAAGAAATGAGCACGCAGAATAAGCACGTAAAAGTTTAGCGACATCATGGGTGACATTTAGTACCTCCGTAAAACTCCTCAGGTGCCACCGCAATGCTCTTCGTGTATTGTTCTTTTGGATCATGTAACTGTTAAGACACATAAATGAAAACAACCGTTGAGTTTCAGGCTTGAAACTAGCTTAAAATAAGGTCAGCAAAGTTTTGCTGCCATTTTTATTTTGACTTGGCAGGTCAAATTTGTTTTTGCCTGCCATTTCTAAAATATGGCCTGCTTTTGGCCTTTGGCAACCCGCTACTTCAAGCCCTGCACTCTGGACTCTTCAATTTCCGTCTCTTTGGCATCACTTTCTGGACTCAGGTTGAGTCCAAAAAGGAGGAGCTCACTGTTGAAGACATGCAACCAACTACATATTTAAACTCACCACTGCTTGATGGTGACGAACTGGCGATGGTTCCAATGACAGTTCTGCTGCAGGCTAAAAAATTGAAACAAAACAGATTGATTTATTTCAGGGTTTTTTTTAGTATAAAGTTCTACCAAAACACATTAGCAATGCACCACACATGAGCAGAGCGGTCATGATGAATGTTTACCGGAATAAGCCCTCTTTCCAGGAGACTAAGAATTCCTTTTCTTGCATCATTCTCAGAAACAGGAGGCGGCGTTTTCTAGGAAATGTACGAGAACAATTGAAGTTTAATTCGTAAACAAATATAAACAACAAATATCGTGAACTTCACCAAGCTGTATTGCTCCTTGTTGACCTTTCTAAACTGTTTTATATTCTCAAAGACAAAGACAAAGGAAATCGCAACCGTGTCAGTGGTTTTAGATGCGATAAAAATCATGTTCATTCACATATAAACTTGAACAGCTTTGATTTTCTCGACTTAGACAATGTTTATCTTTAAAATTACTTCGCCAATGAACTCATAAGATTGGTCGTTTTTTAAGCACGTTAAAAAACTCGCATCCGATCTTTATCTGGGGCCGGTTGTATAAAAAAGTGATTAAAGTTAACTATAGTTAGTGGAAACGTCATCCAATAAGAGACGCGTATTTGAGATTTAATCACTATTTAACTACAAAATAGTGATTAAAAAAGTGATTAAGAGTTTTATATATACAACAGGCCCCTGATATACAAACTCGAGCTGAAGGCGAGTTTGTATATCAGATAAAGACAGGATGCGATGTTTTAACTAGTTTTCTACTTATCTTAACGAATTTTCTGGAGGTGTTTGCAATTTTCGTGATTTATATGCAATTTGAAAATTTTTCGTGATTTATGCAAATTGTAAAATCGTTTACAGTAGTGGGTGCGCAGCCATGCACGAATACCCCTCTAGCCCTTGCTTTTTGCACTTCATCAACTTACAGAAGGGTCGACTCTGTTAGAACGAGGCAATGTTGCCAGAGGCTCTACTGTACAACCAGTGACAATCTTTTGTTTCATTATTCCCGTTTCCGTTTTCTCCTGGATCTGCGGTAAAGCGACGCCATACTTGTCTTTCAAGATATCTCGTGAAGCAGGGTGTTCTGGTTTGGTTAACAGCTGTAACGTGCGTAGATCTTTGCTCTAAATAAAGGTAGGGCACATCTTATATATCCCACGTTAAAAATGAAGAATGATAGCTAAAATGTGGAGAAATTTACGGAAAAAAATTTGGGATTAAAATGGAACGAACAACGGTGGTTGAACACAAAATAATACTGACTCACTAGAAATATGATTGACCCGTTCGCACATGTAACCTGGGCTTAACATAAAGTGATAATAACGGTTTATTGACCGAGCGTGAGGTCTTTACTGTGAAATATCAGACAGAGGTTTTTTAGTATGGACCAAGCGACGTCCATGCAAAAAACAGAGGTCTGATATTTCACGGTACAGACCGAACAGGCGAGGTCATTAATTGGTTTATTACAATGGCTGAACTGAGTCTGTGGGCATATGCTTTTCGCGCGAATTAAATCAGCTATCGTCAGTTTCACTGGGTAACAATATACGGTAGGCATGCATGCTCAATCAAAAACAATTTGGTTGTTTGAAATTTTTATCTGTAAAGCACAATTGAAAATTGAAAAAGCAAAATTTTTTTCTGTTTGCAAAGCAAAAATTTCCCGCCAGATAAACGACATCCGGGACACCGGTCCAGATACGGAAAATACGGACCACGGTCCGGATACGGGTTTTTACGGACCGCTTGTCAACCAATCAGAATAGAGAATTTTGAAAAGCCATATAATAATTACAATAACTGTGTAAATAATTTACTGACCTGCTGACCAGGTGATGGGACATTTGGTGCAGGTTTTCCACCACTCCTAGCAACAACAATTGGCTGCAGAAGACCTTTGTTTGTGCTGGAAAATTAAATCAATAAGGCAATATAGACAGGGACGCTGGAACTGGGGGGGCGGCTGCCCCCCTTGCCTTTTGCTAGGGGGGGCAGGGGGGGCAGAAGTGCCCTTTTAGTTGTAAAATAATATGTGATAAATCACATTTCCAACGATGCTTTTTGTGGGAAAATCACGAGATTCAGGTAATTTATAGTTTATATTTATAAAAATTTTGGGAAATTTTTGGAATTTAGAAAAATATTTTGAAGAAATGGCGAAAATTTAAGATATCCGGAAAAATTTTTGGCTTCACGGAAACATTTTGTATGTACGGAAAAAATTTTTGACCCCTAAAATGGTACACTGACCGAAATTTTTTTGAAATTTTTTCGCCAGTGAAAAAAAAAATTTCAGTAAAGGTGCCCTTGGTGTGCGTCCGCCCCCCTTTGCCCTATTATCGTTCCGGCGTCCCTGTATATATATATATATATATATATATATATATATATATATATATATATATATATATATATATATATATATATATATATATATCTATCTATCTATCTATCTATCTATCTATATATCTATCTATATATCTATATATCTATATATCTATCTATATACCGGGTGTCCCAAAAAAAAGTACTCCTGTTTGATTTATAAGAACTTCTAAACAAGTAAAGCTATCAAACAGAAATAACTTGCATTACATATAGGAAGGACTAACTTAGATTTTGATATATTACAGCAACCTCGTTCCCAGGCTTTTTGCTCTTGGGAAGCAAAGACCCTGGTCGGAGCTGGTCACGTGACCCATTGAAAATTGATAGCCCAAGAGGGGGATGGAAAAGTCTCATATTACATGTTTCCACTTCCGCACTTCAATTGCAAGGAGTGGCCGTTCTGTAAAATCATCTAATTCATCTTCGAGAATCATATATACCTCAAACTACTTGCTGAATTGGTTTCTGTTTGCTTTTAAATTATACAAACATGCTAAAATGCAGATTCTTATAGCAACAGAAAATTCAGGAAATCAAGCAACGAGAACGTATGACTGTACGCTTTGAAATATTTTTATTTTCTCGGGTTTCGCCGGTTCGGGCGTAGTTTGATTTCACGCGTACGTTTCTGTTGTGGCTCTGATATTTATAATATGTTTATAATATGCCAATGAATTGTTCTGATATGGACACGGTATAAATTTTGTTAAACAGATGTCTCAAAAGCGACTGTTTATAGGTCGTAGGATTAGCGCCTTGCCGGTCTTAAACGTGACACATTTGGACACAAGCCAAATACACATTGAATGTTTATTCTATTGATTCTAAAACTGTTGATAGACATATTGCTCTAGATTTTTTTAAAAGGTTATCATCGTTTATATTAAACACCAGGAAGACAAAATATAACGACAATTCACAACTGCATGAATTTTCTTTTTTGTCTGCACGAGTACCTGTTTGTTGAAGCCAAAATATTGCACAGTATCTCCTATAAATTCTATCGCCATTTACCCTCTCCCCTTAAATGCAAAGGAATGACAACAGAAAAGGTTTAGCAAAGTATTTTTTATTACATCTGGTATAAAGTGTTCTATACGTTTTATCAGGGATATACATAATTCATAAACTGTATATGCACACGAAGTCTCGCTTATATTAATGAGTTTTACTGTAACAAACCTTTTAAAGTTTCCATTGATAGATAGGTTGTTTGCCTGCAGTATTGTTTGGTAAAACAGACTAAACTTCTAAAATGTCGGTTACAGAATACGATATTAAAAGATTAAAGTTGATTTAAATATTGATAACTCACAGCGGCATTAACCATTATACAAGTCTAAAGAAGCTGGATTATTCTTCAATAAAGCCCTCAATGGACAATGCCAATGTCAATGTAATGCATGAGTCAATTCCAGGAGTAACCATCCCCCCCCCCGGGAACACACCCGGGCATTTGATTTGATTGGTTATGATAGTGTAAATGCCCGGGTGCCGGGACACAACTTGAAGACTAATGCACGGCCCCTGGGCAAGCTGAGAGTCGAAAATGCCCCACCCCGGGGACGATTTTACAGTTGATTTCACGAAACTTTGACCACAAATGTTCCGAACTTCGTTGCGAAGTTCGTAAGTTCGTTGCGAAGTTCGGAAGCTCATATTGGAATTCACAAGCCAATTTGTAAACAAAGTCCCTGATTGGTCCGTGAAGTAAAAGAAGCCAATCAAATGCGTAGTTTACGAACTGGTTTGTGAATCTCATTATGAACTTTTGAACTTCGCAACAATCTTGTGAACTTCGCAACGAAGTTCGGAAAATTTGTGGTCAAAGTTTCGTGAAATCGACTGTAAACGTTAATTAAACTTTTAATGGCATATAATCATAGTCATTTAATAACATTATAGTATTAAACTGCTATGGAATATTATAAAACATAAACCTTTAATAGTTGTATTTAAATTTGCATGGCACAGGGTATAATTTTCGCTTATTCTTACAATAAATTTCACGCCACCTTGACCACGAGGGCGCAAAATACGATCAGCGCGCTCACATGCGTGCCTGAAACTAGGTTTTGCTGCCTTAAAATTTGTGGGTGGGATTTTGGTCAACCATTTGTCAAATCCCTGGGGTCCTCCAATACCCGGCCCCCGTGCACATATATGAAAGGCAAATTCCCGACCCCCGTGAACTGTCTATCGGGCAAATTCCCGGGGGTGTCCTGGGGGGGGGGGATGGTTACTCCAGGAATTGACTCATGCATAAGGTCTAATATTATACATCCGCAAATTACTATATACACAAAATATGAAATAATTTATAATAAAGTACAATACCAGTGTCTGGTGCATATATCGTCCTAGATATTCAAGCTGTACCGCACGCACGGAAACGCACGGAGGAGTCTTGGCGTTTGTGTGATAACAGATAGCTAGCTACACTTCGACATTATCTTTCTTGATCATCGAGTTTCAGCAATGTAAATGAAATTAATTTTATAGCCAGTCCATAACGGGTTTTAATCCTGTGCTTTTACAGTCAAAATAGCACTATTGTTTACATGTTGGCGAT